CCACTTTCAAAATTCTCACCAGCCTGTATCCAGGCCGTATTTTGGCATCTACACTATCAAGGCAGAAAGAGAATGTTAAAATGAACGAATAATGCAGGGAAGCTGGATAGCCTTATTGCCAAATGACAGACGAGTCGAATAGGCGAGATTGTGCACCAGTGATGAACAGCTCTAGATGCATATCCAGTATAGCAGCCACGACATTTCAATAAAGAGCGACAACAACCTCCATCCCTTCTTCCGCCCCCCCCCCCCCCCCCCGGTCATCGGGCTCGCTTCCCAGAAAAAGTTGCTGAATGCACCCTGAGCTTGGCTCCCACTTTTTGAAACGTTCCTACACCTATGGTTAACACGTCAAAACGGATGTACCGACCAATTTCATTTCCCACAAGGGGCAGGTCAGGTCAGGTCACAGAATAAAATTGGTCTGCCAGAAACCTATAAGAACGATACCTTTTTGTCTTCTTTCGCAATGTGCTTCTGACTAAGCTCATGCAATTAGGTAGACAAAAGTATTCCAGACACAAAAATACCATGTTAGGCTAGCCTAGAGATTAGCTGAGGTCAGCTGAGACCAAATTTAAAACTATCCAAATGAAAAAAGTCAAGTACTGAGTGGGTCTAAGTGACCAGTATCTTTTTTTCTGTGGTCGGAAATAGTGTGCTATATATCTACAGGTACTTGTGATCACATAGTTCTTGCATACGCTTCACATGGTTCCTTCTACGCTTGGCAATGCAGTTGTCACAAACTGAGAATAGGCACGTTGGCGCCTGAAATTATGCGCCTTCAGCTTTACAAACGCGATGCAGAGGTGGTTGCACACGTCGCACTCGTTCATTTAGCCTCTCCGCTACTGATAGCAGATGTCATTGGCTTTGGATTACCTCATATGACCTTGCATGTCCTCACGTGACTTATTGTGACCTCATTATACGTTAGAACAATATCATGACAGGATTTGAGAGGAAATTCGAATTTTGCGCCCAAAAGTATCAGCTAAACTGCCTCATTTTTTGTTGTTGTTCGGAATGCGTTTTTTGCAGAAAGCACCCAGAGAACTAGGTCATGATCATAAGCTAGACCAATCTCATATGCCCTCTAGTCATATCATGGTTGTGCATGCGGGTTAACAGGCCTTCCCTCAAACACAACCACCGAAACTACACAAAAATACAAGATATTTGCATTATTTACGAAAAGAGCAAAACAAGTCTTCTCGCCTCAGGTCACTTACACTGGCTGTTTCGAAAACTCTGGAACTTACAAGCTGCAGGTGATATCATGTTCAATTACCATAGCAAGTCTGAGGAATAACAAATAAAGCACAAAAAAAGTTATGCGTGGTCAAAATTTCTTAGAAATTGACGCCTTTGAACTTACTTTGTGTCACTGGTCTTGCCAGACAAGAATTTCAAGTTGGCACAAATGATGCCAAGTTGAGAGATAAACAGGTTCTGGGAATTTGGTGTCGCTGCAGGCATTTTTTTTTTTAGCTATGCCCGAAAAGCCGTAAGGGGAAGTTAACTTCCCCGGCCGGACGCGGGATAAGTTCTCCTCAGCATATGGATGCAAGCTCAGTTCCGCTCCAAAATCGTATATGGCTCGCCATGTATATTGTGGCTCTCACCATCTTGCTGTTGTTTGCACGCTTAACGATGGCTCTAGAAGGCCAGACCACCCAGGCGATTCTAGAGAACGGTCAGACTTCAAACAACAAACATTCTCAATGCAATTATGGCCTGACCTTCTGTGGCTCAGTTCAGTCAGCACTCCGGGCGGATGCAATTAAGTCCTGTGTCTGTCAACGCAAACGCTAGGCCAAGCAAGGTCGTGCGAAGTCTGGCTGTTTTGGTACAGTGCGCTATGAGACCGGTTCTGTTGTGATGCAGCTCAGGAGAATGTGGTTTGCTGGTTTGCACAGAAATCGCCACTTGGAAGTGCGTATATTTGATAATAAGCGTACCAGCAAGGCCCCCTTTTCGCGGGACGAAAAAGGCGCCGAGATGACAACACAGGTGAACACTTTCTTTATATGGAAGACATGAAAGCCAAAGCGAAGATATTATGACGACGATGGAACTCATTCAGTTCCAAATATATTTGCTGATGTAGTATTTACACGATCACAATTCGCGCTTCATTTTGCATAAAGACTGGGGGTCGATGACTGTGGCCAGCACTGCAGATCCAATCATTTAAGCTGCAATGCTCCGTGTTTGCATTACTTGTATATAATGTAATTGTAGAAAACAGTGATGTTCCGAGTGGGTATAAGCTGGAGTAGTAACCTTGTAGTAACCCAGAGAGTAACCTTGGTCATGTGCTTGTAAAGTTGTGATTGTCTCATCGTCACCCACTTAGGCACGGTGACTTGTATATCTCGGATCTCGTACCTGGAATAAATGATTGATTCAGCATGAGTTTGATAATGCATGATTTCTACTGCTTCGTTTGTTTTCGCACGACTTTTTTGTGGATCCTATTCCAGATGGCCAGAGGTCACGTGGTGAAAGTGTTATCCGTGGTCACGCAAGGAGATTTAGGGGGTCGGGGCCTCGGACTCCAATGGAAGAGAGAGAGAGAGAGAGAGAGAGAGAGAGAGAGAGAGAGAGAGAGAGAGAGAGAGAGAGAGAGAGAGAGAGAGGGAGAGAGAAAGGGAGAGAGAGCAAGAGCTAGAGAGAGAGAAAAGAGAGGAGAGAGAGAGAGAGGAAGGGAGAGAAAAGAGAGAAAGAGAGAGAAAGAATGAGAGAGAGAGAGAGAGAGGAGAGAGAGAAGAGATAGAGAGAGAGAGAGAGAAAGAGAGAGAGAGAGAGAGAGAGAGAGAGGGGGGGGCTGTAGAGTCTTAAACCGTCATGGTTCATATAGATTATGCGCAGAGTCGGGATGATCAGAAGATCTCTTAAACGAATATGGGCTCAGTTATTGTCGACACGGTGTCGGCAGGTGACGCCACCGTCGGATCTTGAACCGTATTTTCACAGGGTAAGTTTACCCGAATGTTAAGGGTTATCTTGCTCCATGACGTGTTGGAATGTGCTGCACCAGTTTTACGTTTTCGATGATTCCAGCTTTCTATTGCATCATGCATTTTTCATCATGCTTTCAATAACGTCTTCAGAAAGAGAACTAATGGAGGAAGGATAAGGGGGGGGGGGGGGGCGAGGTGGGAAGGAGAATAGAGGCAATGAATGATTTGATGTATTTAACGGGTCAAAGCCAAGTCAGATCAGTGGCTTTGCATGTCTGTTTTTATGCCTGAATTTCATTAAGAGCAGTTCCTAACTTAGCTACCTTGTGTGATCACCCTTGATAAATAAACCGTGTTGTAACTCACTGTCGTGGACATCGGACGCCGATAAGCAGAGAACATTGGACAGCATACACGACCCAAACAGCCCGTACTTTGTCCTACCATTCCACCTAAATCACTGGGGCCGATTCTTCATTATGTAATATGCACAAATTCGACACATTATTTTTGATTTATCACTGAGAATTTTTCTGAAATGCCAGAAAGTTCTCCAACGGCCCCGAACACACCTAAAACATATTGGGAGCAATCTGACCCCGCATGCAAATAGCGTTGAGTTCCTAACAAGGTTTACAGTGGCTCTGATCGACCAAGTCAGTCGCAATTGGTTCCTAAGACAGAGTGGAAGACGAAAAGAGTTCCAGGGGCGAAACGTGACCAAAAGCCATTAAGATACCGATCAGATGACAACAACAAGCGATTGCAAGCAAGGCCACAGACCGAGCGAGTCTTAGATACCCTTGTGGATACTCTAGATACTTCGACGGCGAGCAAAATAGCAGAGGTCCGGCGCGGTACGACGCCGTTGCCTCTGCCCAGTTTGCCCGTGAAGATGGTCCACTGAAGTTCGACATTTGGAAAAAATGTCGGCTTTAAACACGTGCTTGATTGTTCAGCCCGTGGTCTGCGTCATTACTCAGCTGTTTACTGTGTATGCGATGCACTTCATTACCAGGGCCATATATCCGTACCACGAACGAGACTCGAGTAAAGCCATATGAACTTGCCGGGGAGTGAACCCGCCCCATTCGGCGCCCTGCCGTCCCTTATCATGCAAGGCTTGTGGCCTCGGGGTGAGGCGGTGCAAGGGTCATCTGGCACGCGACTCGGAGCGGGAAAGTGTCGCCACCCCTCGGACGCCCCGTGTCTTTCCAGCACCACTCCCCTGAACCGGCGGTGACGCAACCTCGTCACCGGCGCCGCGGCGCCGGCGGCCGCCGGCGGCCCGGCCGAGCCCCAAGTGGCCCCCACTCCCCCTCGCGTCTCGAACGGGGCCGGGCCGGGCCGGGGGGCAGAGGAGGGGAGCGGCGGGAGCTTCACGCGCTATAAATAGCCCGCCACCCTCGTCAGATAAAACGCTTGTGCACACGCAGCGCGATCAATACGCACAACCGCCCGACTCATTCATAAACGGTGGCGCTGCGGGCCTCTCGCGTTCGAGCCGGCGCCCTCGGCGTTGGTGACGTGTCGGCAGTTACCCGTCACGTGACCGGTTCTGCACCGAAAGAATTTCCCCGGCCGCCGGGACGGGCGTCTTTGTTTCGAGCTGTTCGAGTTAGAGAGAGCCGCCGAGGCGGACGGCGGGGTCGGCGCGCGGCAGGAGCGACGCCAGCCTGGTCGAAACGGGGAGACGCGGCCGGAAAAACCCGTCGATGCGCTGACCGGGCCGGCGGTGTGTAGTGTAGGTCAGCGGCGGCACGCGGTCGACGCCGATCTGGACCCACCCAGCAGAGGAGCCGCGCCCGCACCAGAAGTCAGGGTCGCCACGGCCGTGAGCGCGCCGCTGCGCTGCCGACGCGCGCACGTGGTCGGGGCCCCGGCGGCGGCGACCCCGGCCGCGCCGGCCGCCTCCCCTCCCCCCGCCGGCGGCGGCGGCGCCGGGCCTGACCGGCGGCCCCAACAGCTGACTGCGCGCCGCGCGGCAGCCCGGCCGCGGCGTCGGCGGCCGCCGCTGCTGGGGACGCGGCGCTGCGTGCGCGCCGCCAGTGTGCGTTGTGCGGCGCGAGGTGTGGGCCGCGCGCCATGTCGGCCGCAAAGCGCAAGGTGAATCCGCTCACGCTCAAGGAAAAGAAGGCAGTGATTCTGGAAGTGGAGAACAGCAACGGCAGGACCAAGTCGCAGATCGCCGAGCAGTTTCGCATTCCGAAGAGCACGCTGTCGACCATTCTGAAGGAGAAGGAGCGCATTTTGAACTTGAACGACGCCGACGACCTGGGCCCGCAGCGCAAACGGATGCGCATTCGCCGCGGCGTGCACCCACAACTGGAGGAGGCACTGTTCGCTTGGCTGCAGGAGCAAGCGGCGGCCAACCAGACCGTCTCCGGCCAGAAGATGCTCGCACGCAGCCAGGAGCTGGCACAGCAGTTGGGCGTGGACGACTTCAAGAACAGCGTGGCCTGGCTGGAGGGCTTCAAGCGGCGCCACGGGCTGGCGGGGGCGCGGCCGGGTCCGGCCGACGGCTGGCGGCCGGAGCCGGCGCCGGACAGCACCGTGCCGCTCGGCCAGCTGTCGGCTCTGCTGGACGAGTACGGCGCCGCCGACGTGTTCGTGGTGGCTGAGATGGGCGTGTTGTTCGATCTGACGCCGGCCGAGGCGGGCGGCGAGGCGGTGAAGGCGTGCGCGGCCGGGGAGCTCGCCTCGCGTCGGCTCAGCGTGCTGGCTGCCGCCTCGGCCGACGGCTCGCAGAAGCTGCCGCTGCTGGTGGCCGGCGAGCGGCCGCTGCCAGGCGCCAGCCAGCCGGGCCGGCTCGCCTACCGCGCGGAGCCGCGCTCCTGGCTCCAGCCCGACCACTTCGCCAGCTGGCTGGAGCTGCGAGACGGCGAGCTGGGGGCGCAGGGCCGGCGCGCGCTCTTCCTCTGCGAGCTGCAGCCTCTGCACGCGACCGCCGGCGGCGGCGACGCGCTGGAGCTGGCCTGCCTGCCGCCCAGCCCGCTGACGCAGGCGCAGCTGGCGCCCGACGGCGTGCTGCATCAGCTGAAGCTGCAGTTTCGGCGCCGCGTGGCCGGCTGGCTGGCCGAGCACGGCCGGCCGCCCAGCGCCGACGAGGCGGTCACGCTGCTCAGCCGCGCCTGGTGGCAAGACGTGGACGCGGAGCGCGTGCGCCGCTTCCACGCGGCCGCCGGCCTGCTGCGCCACGAGCCGAACGGACAGCCGGCGCCGGCGGCGGCCGCCGACGGGCCCGAGCTGGCGGCGCTGGCCGGCGGCCCGTTCGCGGCGCCGGCCGGCGCCCCGTTCTCCGGGTATGTGACCGCAGATGACGCGCTCCGCTGGACGGCCGGGCCGCCGCCGGCCGCGGCCCGACCGGACCAGCAGGGGTCGGCCGCCGCCAAACCGGACGGGCAGGGCTCGCCGGCCGCCAAGCGCGAGCGCGCCGTCTCGCCGCAGGCCAAGCGCGAGCGCGCCGCCTCGCCGCAGGTCAAGCGCGAGCGCGCCGCCTCGCCGGGCGAGAAGAGGCCGCGCTACGGCTCGCCCGCCGGCCGGCGGCGGCCCTCCTCGCAGGAGGCGCTCAAGGCTGTGCTTGTGCTGCAGCAGTACTTCCAGCTGCGCGATGGCGACGACGAGCTGGACGAGGTGCTCAGCTTCGTCGCCTTCACCAAAGAGAAGATTGTCAAGCTGCAGACGCAGGAGCACCGACATGACAGTAAGTGGTGCCGCGTCTGCGTGGGGGCAAGCTTGCGAGGCTCCTTCACTGCTTGCGGGTGAAGAAAATGACAATTTGTAATATATTTCGCCCGTGTAGCGTACATTCCATGGGCACCATTGTGTTACATGATGCCTGAGCTTCATAGGCGATTTCGCGCCCATTGATGTTCATGTGTGTCTCCTGAATGACATAAAAAGGAGAGGTAAGAAGGTCCTAAGTTCTTGTTTGAACGCCCAATTTGTCGTGATAATTGGCCATGGTCGCACGAACCGGTGGTCCAGAAAGTCTGCCACGTGCGGCGGTACGGCCAACAGGTCTGCCGCGACACTAACGGTGCATGTTTTTGCCGTCGTTCTTGTCGCCTTACGCAATGACCCCGTCCACTTATCCAGGTCTCAATGGGTGAGGCAGCATGGCGTAGCACTTGATCTCGTCTAAACTGGGGCATAAGTCTGCTGTCCAAGTGGGACAGGGGCGCCCCGGATCATCCACTTCCCCTGACACCCCGCGGACGTGGCGGCCGTCGCCGCGGGGCGGCTCGAGCCGGGTCGGCCGGCGCCGGTAACCGTGACCGTTACCTGCCGACGGAGTGTGCCGTGTGACGGGTTCGTGAGTCGTGCCGCCACCCGACGGCTGGCGCTCCCGGGGCGGTCCGCACGCTCCAGTGCGCCCCCGCCGCCACAGCTCCCCGGCCGCTCCGGCGCCTGTTTGGGGCGGTCCCCTGCCAGCTGTGGCTTCCGCCAGGTGCGAGCGGTGTTCGGCTTGTCGCGTTCCGTACGGTTGTCGCATTAAGCCTCATTTTCTCGGTTTGGCCTCGATTTCTTTAATCGATGTCAGTCAGGTGGTTCTGGTTGTTCGTAATCTTCAGTTGTTTTTTAACGAAAATCGGACGCTGCTTTCCGGTTGAACTCTGCTCGATGCATTCTTCTTCAACTAGTTCCGCACCCGTGCATCAAACAATCGGTATTCCTGAGATACGAGTGACCGATCATCTACACATGGGCCGATTGTCCTTATATATCAGTAAGTTTGCGATTGGCCTTTATCTGTGTTCAGTCAAGACTCCAGAGGCCAGAGAGCATCAGACTCGCCTTTAGTAAACAGTCCTCAACGATGGAAAGGAAATGTATACCGGGTGGCAACTTGATGAAAGTAGGTGCTCGTGTAGTTATGGATTGAACACACGAACACAATTGAGCGTTGTGAGACGCGGATCAGCCTTAAAACTAGGAGGGCGTGTCCAGGCCTGAACCCCCTCGCCCACGCCCCCAAAATGCTCGGTTGGGGATTAGCAAACGTGGCTCATTCATACATCACAGTCCATAGCAGCCCGGTCGCCTCGATGATGGTTATAGTCGCGTTTACACCACAGATGGGTCACGCCGGATATGACGTCGAAGGGTTGCAGAATATGGCAAATTCCTTACTGAGCTTTACAAAGACGGTGATGCAAGATATGTATCTTATGCACCGCGTTTGTTGCCGTGCGTTCGGGCCGTCATGCTGCATGTGAGCTGACCTGTGCTCTGGCGACCCCAGCCGACCTGACACAACTGACCTGTGCTCAGGCGGCCCTAGCCGACCTGACCCAACTGACCTGTGCTCTGGCGGCTCCACCCGACCTGACTTGACTAACCTGCGCTTTGATGATCCCAACTGACCTGGCCTAACTGGCCTGTGCCCTGGCGACCCCAGCCGACCTGACCTGACTGACCTGTGCTATGACGGCCCCAACCGACCTCGCCCGACCTGCCGTTTCGTGCACCGTCGCGAGGGAACATAGAGGTGCGCCCAGGAATGAGAAGTACAGGGTCAGTGTCACCAGTGGCCTACAGAGGAGACCGGTTACCCACAGAAGCTTTCTGGAACCGAGGCGTAGACGAGTACTAGTGAAACGTCACGCCGCCGAGCTATCCCATAGCGCGCCATCTTTTGAATGTCGCAATATCTTCGGCTTCAATTCAAAGGTGGCGGTCTGGAGCGGCGCCAGCTGGCCAAGCCTAGCAATAGGTGCCAGGTGCCAAGTTCCGAACTACGCCTGCGCGCCTGCAATCGTAATCGGGGCTTACGCCGGCAGTTTATTGAGAAGTGTGATGACTGTAAACCTGGCGAAGAGACGGAGCCGTGGCTGGGGTAATATTTTGCTTGGGATCACCAACTGTGCGTAAGGCTATGGATGGATCGTGTGCGTCATTGATGCGCATACACATTTGCTTCATGATGCCGCACAAAATCCTCATTACCTCCCCCCCCTCCCCACCGGTACTCCTAGCAATGAAATGTCGTGCCATCTCGCTGGTCATCGCGTTGTATTTCATGAAATGGTAACGACACATACAATTAGCGTAATTGATACCTTACTTCACATGTGTGTAGGAAAAGGAGAGAGTAACTGGCTCATCGCGATTCAATGAAGTGAGGTGTGGCAAAACTGACGTTAAGGAAGCGAGCCTTAACCATTGCCAACGAGAGGCCTGACGGGCCCTCCAAATTCTATCATTGAATACCTTGACAGCCGTGAGAGATATGCTGATCATTTCAACACTTGACTTAATGACATTGGGGCACGCCCTGCTAATTTTTTAGCACGTTCCTTGAATAGGTTGTGGTGACCTTTAACCAAAGACGCGGCTCGAAAAAGGGAGGGGGCTGGGAGCCCAGTCACCCTTACCCTTTTGGGCCCGCATTTTTGTTTTGACACCGTAGAGGCTCTTTTGGTTCTCTTCTGATGGATGCTGACGGAGCTCCGCCTACCCCTAAAAGTTTTTGCTGTGCCGTTGCCTATTACACATCTGTGAGGAACATGTTGGGTTTCTCGTGAAATCGACAATTTGGTTTACTTGTTTGCAATTGAGATATGCTAGTTTTTCGTTTTATTGATGTAACCGATCTTGACGTCAATGACGTCAGGCCTGGTCGTGCCTGAGGCCAGATATCAGGTCATCAGAGGTTAAGCTCAGTCAAGCATATCGATTGTTTTACGGGATCTATGGCATCCCCATCTGCAAGAATGCTTTATTGCGATCCACCATATGAACATCATCTTGACGAACATCACGTGACCAACTGTTGCGAATTGTTTCGGTTAAGGTTAGGTGCCTTATCGGTGTTTGCTCATTTTTTTCAACCAGCTTTTGCTTATGGGTACTTGCATTCAACCCAAACGGATCTTCCAGGCCATGCAAGATCGTGACCTTGAATTATTAGTGTCTGCATGGAGAATCTGACCCGCTCTGCCATCACCTGTGAACTGTTATTCCATGCACCACGCACTCAAACGGACATTTTAGCCATGGTGGGGTCTTCGTAAACTGAGAGGCGATTCATTTGACCCAGGCCCCAAAATCCGGATATGTTCAGAACTGGAATACAGCAAAGAACACGTTGGAGCGTACAGAACCATGTTTTGTTTTGAGTTTGGGAATTGTACTATGAGAACATTTCGTCTCATTTCCGACATCAACCATGTAATGTTATTAACGTCACCTTGAAGACTGCTCACCACCTGCAATAAGCCAGTTTTTTTTGGCATAGGCAACAAGCGACACGTTGGTTTCCATCCTAATGATCCATCCGTCAAGTTCAGAAGTTGGTGGGAGGAATGGGGTCTATCAGTCCTCCCCTTAGCGATGAGAGTGTAAAAATGGCCCGTCAGCCGAGGGTCAGATAGGGGCCCTCCCCCGCCCCCTCCCCATCACGGGCGAGAGCATTCCCACATCCCTGTAGTGTTTCTTGTAACAATGGGTCTACAACCCAAACCTCAGTATGCGTGAAAGCGTTTGTGGGAGCAAAACGGTCTTAATGGCCGGCGCGCCCTAAAACCACGCGCCTGTGGGCTGGGCTGATACCGTACCTCGCTGGCACAGTCAGAAGGCTAGTTATATGTTCTTTATAAGACGCCCGGCATGCGTTCCAAGGTATACAGTTTGTCTCGTAGAGCTATTACACGTGCGTCCCGTCTGCTGTCCTCACTTACGAGACGGCTCACTGCAGCAGTGCAGCGAGGACAAAACATGCGCACTGCAGACGAATTATTTCTCATCTGCGTGGCAGCATGCAGACAGCTGATCTAGCGTACGAGGTGACGTCACGTATGGTTTGTGTACAACTTCTCAATCCCGCCCAAAGCTCCAGTTAACGAGACCAAAGAATGTTCTGTTGATGGCGTTCCAAGAAGTCCTTCACTGGTGCTTTGTGTTAACGCCTGCACGGATTAGGATTCTGGGATCGAACATGAGCAGGAATTATCTTCTTCCTACAACACGGTTTGGCGCTGCGGGACAAGCGAGGTGATTAATACGCCATTGTTTTCTCTGTGCAAATAGTACCAAAACATAAGCGATTGGACGGACCGTTGCCCCACCCATTCGGTTTGGTTTCGTTCGAGCCATACCAATGGGACTTATATGAAGTCGGCTGGATTGTCCTTTGATGGGCATACCGGCGGAGATGTGATAATGGTTGGCGTCCGCGCGCGCATTCACGGACAGCGAGGCTTGAGCATCGGCTGGCGGGAAGTGCGGTCTGACGTGGTATTTTTCAATCGGAAAAATTACAATAAACTACAAGCCTTGGCAATGGCAACGATACGGTTGTTGCGAAATGTGTCAACATTTTGGTGCGTGGTGGTTACGTTGGAAAGGACTTAACGCTTGTGTAGACGCCATGGCCTGATGTATGTTGGCATAGGCTACGGCCCCTTGTATCCGAGGCCGGTTTTAGAAAGAGGCCAATGGCATTGGGCACTTTCAGGTTAATGGCTTCTTAGGGTCGGAGAGCCTTGCGATCTGTTCCGTGAGTCATGACGGGTACGTTCGTGACGGGTACGTGACGGGTACGTTCGTCTGCAGCGTGCAGTTGACTTTACGTTGTCCTCTGATCTGGCCGCTGACACCTGACACCGGTCCTTGAAAAGGCCTCAAAACGGGCGGATGCGTGGTTTGCGCACGGAGTGCGTTGTGCCCCCCATCGGCCCACTCTTCTTTCAGTGCGATTGT